CTTTCGTGGGGGGGGGGAGGTTGAGCCTCATTATATATTGCTTAAAGAACTGATAATTTAGGAAAGGAGGGAGAGCTTGGATACACGAGTGTCTCTTAGTCGTGAGTATCCGGCTTTTTATTTTTCCTTTCGGCGTGGCTACCACGGCCTCCCCCGCCTTCCTCGCTTTGCAACCTTGGCGTGAGGTCGGAGTTGCCCCTTGGACCACAAAGGGACAGTTTGCACCTTGTTGGCAAAGGGACTGTTTGAGGCTGTCTTGCACAACGGCTTCCCTCCCTCTTCCCCAGAGGCAGGTTGGCCTGCAGCTACCTTGAGCAGACAGAAAAACTTGGCCCAATGTGAATTTGGAATGGGCTGAAGAGGGAAGGCTGCCAGGTGCCCTAGAAAAGAAAAAGCGAGATAGTTCTTTTCCTTTCTTTCTTGGCTTACTTCTGCCCTTTCCTGCTAGCTTAAATAGGTAGACATTAGCTAATGTGGCTTTGGCACTCTAGGGGGGTCTGTTCGTGTTGACTGCACATCACACAGCTCCCAGAGTAGCACAAGCCAGTTCAGAAGAAATGCAAGAGCAACCTGCGGTTCCCTCAATAGAAATAAAAGGACCCACTTCAGTTTCAGTCTCCAGAGACGATTCTCTGCTTGGATTCTGTGGTTCTCCCCCCTCCCGCCCCAAATGAAAAGGGGGAATCATAGACAAAGTGACTGATGAAGAACTGGACTGGGTTCTGCTTCAGAATTCTGCCCATCTTCTCTTGTCTGGTCCATCACCCATATCCCATTTTGCCCCCACCCGATTAAAATTCTATTAAACAAATGAAAATGCTGTATAGAAAGACTGAGGCGTGGTTTAGTGCAGTGATTAAGGCATCAGGCTAGAAACTGGGAGACTGAAGTCTAGACCTGCCTGAGGCACAAAGCCAACTGGGTGACCTGGGGACAGTCATTCTCTTCATGCCTAGGAAGAAGTCAGTGGCAAAACACTTCTGCAATCTTGCCAAGAAAATTGAAGCGAGGGTCCAGGCACTGCCTAGAACTCTGATTCAGAACACACATACCCTTTCTCCTCCCAAACCAGGCTAAACAGCCAAACAGGTGAGTTAAAACCAACCATCTGCTATAATGGGAAAAGAAAATGCTTGAAACTGTACAGGAAATTAGCCAATAAGCCTAAATAAGCCATTTTCCCTAACAAAATAAGGAAGGTTTGTTTCTTCTACTTTGTTGGAAGCCGGGTGTCAAAAACAGTATCATGGGGATAGATGGCTATGAAAGGAACTCAAGAAACCAACTGCTAACCCAGAAAACAAATGATAGGAAAGAAATGGCTAGGCTGGAAACTAGCTAGTGATCAGAAGACAGTTGGCTGATCTACACCTCCTAAAATCCCAACACATTTCTCTCCACAGCCAATACAGGTCACTTAACTTCAATGTAAGGAATGACAAAGATTTTATACATCTTGAGACTGTTTTTGAGAAGCACTGAAATAAGGGGGAAGGGTATTACTTTTGTAATGTTTAGGCTAGTCTCACTGATGGCTGGGAATAAAACGGAAGCAACCTCATGAAAATAAGGGGGAAATTGATGAAACTGATCTTGTCAGGGCAAGACTGGCATGATTACAGTAAATGTAAGTAAAAATTATGCTGATGTGTTTGAAAAAAAATCCTTTTTTCCAAAGTTTTTTTCCTTACATAAGATCTGCTCTAGTCTGATCAATATGATCAATTCATATATTAAGCCATATTAGATTTTGTTTTGTTTGGGCTTAGTGTGTTGTATGAATGTTAGATTCATACATCACACTAAGCCCAAACTAAACAAAATCTGCAATTTATAAATCATGATTTATAATAGTGCGTTATATTATCCAGGCAGCAATGTTTCAGTCAAAACATAATTAAAATCAGTTGACAGTGATATACAAACGCACTATAAGTTTTATATTTCCTTTTCCTCTGCTCACAATTTAACAACTGCCATTGACCTAATGGCTTGATTTGGACAATATGCCAAGAACAAGAAACAAACCACTTTTAAAACTAATAAACATAGCATATTAGAAAAAGTGGTTTTATGTCTCTTGATGTAACCATACACAAGTCAAGGTATATCGTTAAGTAAAAAGAATGCTTGATTAAAATTTGATAACTATAGAGCCTTGCACCATAATATACATTAATTTCTAAAATGTCACAAGACTTAGTTTTTTTTTTCTTACATCACATTAACTAGTTAAAAAGCCTGTTGAGCTCCTCCCTTCTCTATTTTCTTCTGCCACCAAGAAACAAAAAAAACATCACTTTCTCTTACTAGTTCTGCCTACAAGATAAAAGATGACATTTCCTTTCTAGCACACACTATTTAGGTTTTTTTTTTTGAAGAGAAATAAATGTTGCATAAACATTGAAATAAATGTATGCTCATTTTTTATTCTGCAAACAATATGAATGCAATAATAATGACAAGAATTTAAAATGCGGTACAATTATAATATGAGAAGTTACAAAAAGTAATTATTCTAGAGAACTATACAAATTGTTCTGAGAACTACACAAAATTTTGAAATCACTTTTCTGTAATCTCATCTATGCAAGATAAGCTTGGTTACTCAGTGCATGAATCAAAGGATCTTTCTAAATATTAGGGAGTTGTATGTATTTTGGCATCCTCAAATGAGACTTTAATATTTAACTACAGGCCAGACCTATTACTTTATAGAGAGAATGGCTATTATGATAGGTTTAAATATCTGATTAGAGATCAGGGATAACCTTGAATGTGAATTGCACAAAAGGTACTTCTGAGTTGGAACATTTTACTTGTTTGCCTTTAATTTATATAAGAAGATAATCATGTCTTCCCCAGAAAATCCATGCAAGGAAAATGTCATTTTTTATTATTGCCAACAGATATTAAGAACAAAGGAATGCCATTCCA